CTTATTGATCCAGTGTTGCTACAGGAGGAAACCTAAACTAAACTAACTTTATTTATACTGGATGGCTCTATCAGTCCTAAACTGTTCTTCCTAGAGGTCCAGTAAGGATCATCTCTTATTGATCCAGTGTTACTACAGGAGGAAACCTAAACTAAACTAACTTTATTTATACTGAATAGCTCTATCAGTTCTAAACTGTTCTTCCTAGAGGTCCAGTAAGGATCATCACTTATTGATTCAGTGTTACCACAGGAGGAAACCTAAACTAAACTAACTTTATTTATACTGGATAGCTCTATCAGTTCTAAACTGTTCTTCCTAGAGGTCCAGTAAGGATCATCTCTTATTGATCCAGTGTTACTACAGGAGGAAACCTAAACTAAACTAACTTTATTTATACTGGATAGCTCTATCAGTTCTAAACTGTTCTTCCTAGAGGAACCATAACTGAATTACCAAACTATAGTTACAAAATGAGTATTAACAAATCACCTTAATATCAGATACGGGTCCATCAAGAAAACTCATTTCGATCAATTCGTTAATATCTTGCACCAGCTTCGTGAAGCCTAAATCTTCCAAAAACTCATCAAACTCAGGAACCCGGGATATCAAATGATCCACATCCAGGTGTTTCTCGATCTCATCTATGATCCCGTGAACATCAAAATGATCGATGATGTTCTCAACCTCGTCCAACTTCGACCGAAGTATACCGATGTCAAGGAATGGTTCGAGATCAGGTACATGATGTGTTATATTAGCCTCAGCGAGCAATTCGTCCAGTTCATCCAAGAGACCATGAATGTGGGTCATATTTAGTAGTTTTCGGATCTCTTGTAAAGTATCATTGATCTTGATCTCTTCAAAAAGATGCCCCAACTCTGGTAGGATCTCATTGGCTAGTTTGGTGAAGTTCAGCAGATCGTCCAAGGCATGGACAATTTGGGAGATGTTGTGACTCTCGAAGATCTTCTCAAGATTTGGGATTAGTTTTCCACTAATGTCGGTCATGTCTATGATTTTTTCAACTTCTTTCACGATTTTAGTGATGTTTTCTCCTTCCAAAAAACTATAAAGCAGCATGCTATTAGGTATTCCTGTTGCAATAACGTAGGTAGGGTAGGTCGTTTTTTCTTTTTTTTTCATAAACGCTCATGGATGAGATTTTGGATGAGATAATAAACATGGATGAGATAATAAACAGAACATTACACGATGGCTTGAAGATATGACTTTTATCTTCTCGTGTTAAAAACAATATTTCACTCACTCGCTGCGCTCGTTCGTAAAATATTGTTTTCACCACTCGAAGATAAAAGTCATATCTTCGCGCTGCCGTGTAATATCCTCTATATATGATATATGATATATGATATGATATGCAACTAACCCAAACCCTACCCTAACCCCTAACCCCTAACCTAACTGTAAGCAAATTAATCAAGAAAAATTTTGAAAATTTTAGAAAATGGTGGTTGGAAACGAGTTAAAACCTTTTGTGAAAACACTAAAAAGTTCAATCCAGCTTTAGTTCAGAGATGAGTAACAAACCTTTCGATTTCCGGTAATAGTATATCAGCAATCACTGTAACATTTAGAAGCTCTTCGATTTCATCTAAAATCTCGGAAACGTTATTTTCTACCATGAGTTCATCCAATTCCGGTAGAAACTCGTGCTCCACCCGGGTTAGATTCACATAAGCGGCAAATTCTTTGATAGTCTCTCTAAGATCATCATCTTGTAGAATTTTTTCCAATTCTGGTAGAAGATCGTGGATGACTCGGCTCATATTCAGCGCGTTTCCCATCTCCTCCAGGATCGTTTCGGTTGCATTATACTTGTCAGAGATTTTTTCCACTTCTGGGATAAGGCGACGTATGTCGTTGACAATGTCCTCAGCGATGGTTTGAAAGACGACAGGCATACTGCCTACCAGGTCGGTGACATTTAGAAAGTGATTGAAGATTTTTAGTAGACCAAGCGAAACTAGACAAGAAAGATGTTTTTTTATTTTAAACAACTATAAAATCACGGTCAAACGAGAATGAGAAGCGAGAGTTTGCATGAGAGATGAGAGGCGAAAGTTTGCATGAGAGTTTTCTCAACTCTCATGTCCCGGTCAAACGAGAACAAGAGTTGCAAGAGAGTTGATGAGAGTTGAGAAGCGAGATTTTGCATGAAATTCGATGAGATTTGAGAAGCGAGAGTTTGTATGAGAGTTTTCTCAACTCTCATGTCCAGGTCAAACGAGAACAAGAGTTGCATGAGAATCGATGAGAGTTGAGAAGCGAGAGTTTGCACGAGCGAGAGTTCTCTCAACTCTCATGTCCAGGTCAAACGAGAACAAGAGTTGCACGAGAATCGATGAAAGTTGAGAAGCGAGAGTTTGCGTGAGAGTTTTCTCAACTCTCATGCCCCGGTCAAACGAGAACAAGAGTTGCATAACTTGCATGAGATTACCGCGCGCATATCGAAAACTCTCATCAACTCTCATTTAAATTTGAGCCAGCTCGGCAAAGTTGATGATTGTGGATGGGCCATGAGAGTCGATAAGAGCTGGAAGTCAAACGCGACTCAAGTTGCAACTCTCATCCTAGTTTAAAATTTTGAATGGTTTTTAAGGCCCATTTCCACTCAGGAAAATTTTTTTCGGAAAGAAATTTTCCGCAGAAAGAAAATTTTGAAAATTTTCAACTTTTAACAATTATATTTTCGGAAAATTTTCTGTTCGTGGAAATTTTAATTGAGTGGAAATGGGTCTTTAAGTACATGGAAATGAGTTCTGCTCTTATTAATAAAAGCTATAAAATATTGATTTATTGATGTCCGCATGGGGTCAAGTTTATATGGTAATACAGCCGATGGCATTTCGAGCATGATTTGTCACGATTTGTCACAAAGATTTTGAGCATCAATATTCGATAAAACTACTTGTTGAAGGAATTTAGATGGAAAATTTCTACTGTGGAATTTCCATACATATTTCGGCCATGTTGGAGTTTCCCACTCGCTAATAAAC